CTGCATATGGCTTGATTATTGAGTGTTTGGGTTCTAAAACCAGAAGGCCAGGGTTTGGAATTGAAGTAAGTAAATTTACCACTGAATGACCTGGTGGAAGTCACAGTCCCTCTCCCACTTCAGTGCACTCATCTGGAAAATGGGGATAAAAATAATACCCACCTTCTTCCAGGGAGCTAAGAGGGTTTTTACAAACAACAAGTTTAAAGTAGCACCAGCCTAGCACATAACAAGCCCCCCGTAGCTGTTAGCTGTGGTGCCATCACAACTTAGGCATCTTTTTTTTACGTTTAGATTTTTTTTTATTTATATATATATTTAACATCATTGTTCATTTTTAAAAAATGTTTGCTTTTTAACCCCCCCCCCCAAGATGTAGTCCCCATAGAATTTCCTTCACCTATTCACCCATGCACCATTACCAGCATCTTAACTTAAATTTCACTCAGTGGATTGCCCAGTAGGATTCGGAGGCTTGGCAATCTGGACAAAGGAAAGCTCTAGAAAGCAAGGTATTCATTAAGTAGGTTGGTCCCAGTCTGAAGGTTTTACCAAATACAAAATCCTCTGGGCATTTAGGGAAGGGTGTGAAGAGGTAGAGTTCTGAAGGAGCAAAGAAATGGGTGAAGAAGACAGATGAATAGTGAGTGTGAGACACTCCCTGGGGATGGGGCAAGCAGCATGTGGGGTCAGGTGTCTGAGCCCCTGAAGAGAGAAGGAGCATGAGGGGAGAAGAAGGGAGAGGGAGAGGGGAAAAGGAGGGCCAGAGAGGTCCAGGCGCTCCTGCCAGGGGCCTGGTGGGAGAAGCAAGGTGAAGGAGAAGGATTGGGCTCTCCTCAGGCCTCATCCAGGTCAGGGCCCAGACTGGAGGCCTGGCTGGGTTGAAACAGCCAGAGTCATGGGAGAGTGAGGCAGACTGCCTGTCACACTCCCAGCTCACAGTCACCCCACTCTTGATCATTCTTTCAGGAAGCTGATTCCCAGGAGCCTGCTGTTTGTCCAGACCTTGGTCCCATGCCCAGGTTTTTCCGGTGTGGTTGTCATATCTCAGGAGTCAGCTGGGCATGGCTGGTGAGTTTCTTGTAATAATTAAGGCAGGAAGTGGCCAGGACCTGGAAATAGAGCAGCTTTAAGGGAGGCAGGGTGAGGAAAATTCTTTTTCTGAGGGCCTGTGTGCCTTCTTGGGCTAGGTGCACAGAATTCCTGAACTTGATCTGGGCTGAGGGACCCTAGGGAAAAATTTTGCTTTATGGACATTTTATCTCAGAAATGGAGAATCTAAGAATGCTCTATTCCAGTAGGGGTTTCTCCAATTCACATGGCAATGCCCTCTTGAAACATGTGGGGGTGTCCAGCACCCTATACTCATAGGAAGGGAGACCATGGCTTTTAGAGTAAGACTGATCTGTTTTTTAATCCCAGCTTTGCCCACTTAGTCTCTGGTCATCAGCAGTCTGCCTGGTGGAGCTAATAACTTGAGCTAATTACTCCATCTCTCTGAACCTCCATTTTTTTTTTCACTTAAACTCAGGATTCCCATGCCTATTTTGTGCTGACTAATAATTTTTTTTATTTATGCATACAAAAACCGGGGGTAGGCCAAAGATGTGGGAGAGTGAGAGGACTCACCAGAGACAGAGTGGGGAACAGAACAGGCAGATTGACTGAAATACATTGCTGAGGGGAGCAGCGGGTGAGACAGGGGAGGTCTGTTGTGCCAGGTGGGTCAGTTCCTTGCTGGGGATTGACCTCATGTTGCAGTGGCTGGCTATAGCTTGATAGTGCTGAGACTTTAATCCCTGCGCCACTAGGGAGGCCCTGACTAATGAATTCTGAAGGCATTCTTAGCATAGCACTTTGCACATAATAACCACAAAATAAATGATAGTTAGAACAACAACAAAACAGCAAAAATAATTACCAGTTCAACTCTTCCCACCTTAGTTTTTAGCTTTGTAAAATGAGTTATTATGGGGAGTAATGAGGCTGATCAATATTTATCAAGAAGGTGGTAAGGGGTCTGCATTGGTTTGAGATGGGGTGTGAACAATCATGTGATGCTCTCAGTGGGCACAGAGCTTGAATCCAGGTTTGGCCAGGAATATGCAGAGCTGGGATGGAAAGTTCCTGGGCTCTTGTGTTTTCTTCTCACCTGTGGATGAGAGAGAAGCTTCACTGCAAGGCAAAGTTTGCTTGTCTCAGCTGGGCCCTGGCAGAGCAGGGCCGGTGTTCTTCCCACCACCACACCCTTAGTATCCCAAGAAGGACCTGGCACACAGTTGATGCTATATGTGTGTGTGTGTGTGTGTGTGTGTGGTGAATGAATATTAAATGCCAATGCTAACTTTACCCCTCCACAATTACCTTGATAAAATTCTAGGGGCCTTTTCTCAGATAACTCCCCCAAGTCCAGAAAGTCTATGCTATGCCATTTTTAATCAGTGTGGACTCTGAAAAACCCATTTTCTTTCAAGCCAGAGGAACAGCTGGCTCATCTCTCAATGGACCAAAGAGCCTCTGCCAAATGTGTGGGAGGAGAAGATTCTGAGCCAATCCACTACTCCACACTTAGCCTCCTTAACTGAGGAATGGATCTGCTTTGAGAGAGCTACAATCTCTCCACAAATAATAACAATATGAACATATTCCACTGTGCTTTTTGGATTCCAAAGAACTTTCACATCCATGTTCTTGCAGGACCTCAGGACCATGTGGGTGTGTTGGGAGGGGGTTGAGTGGAACCAGGGGTGGAAAAAATAGCAGGGAACAGATCATTACTTTTTACAAAGAAAAAGAGTAAAGAGAGGATTTGTAGAATTTTTCAAGATCATCTAGGTAAGAAGTGAGACAAGGACCTAAATCCAGAAAGCTCTGACTTTAACTTTAGCACCGAGGGGAAGTGCGCATGGCCTGGTCGGCAAGAGGCTTAGGAAACGGTCACATTATCTGGTTGCTCCAACTTGCAGTAGTGACAATGAATAGGAGTCGGGCTTTCCCACCGGGCACACTGCTGATGACCAGCAAGGACTCTGTCCATGGCCGATAACATCCTTCTGCCTCAATTTGGCCAACATTGCCCAGGGGCCAGTGATAGGCAGCAACAGTGAAGGGAAAGGATTCCTATTTTGTTGTCTATTTAATGTCAGGCAAGGGGGCAGATAATGTGACTCTTGTCTTTTAAATGGAGCTCAGAGAAGGTCTTCTACCTCCTGGATGCCCCTCCTGACCATACCACCCAGCAGCATGGCATGTGGGCAAATCACAGAATAGACACTCAGTTTCTCCAGCATCTTTGCTTGATTAATATTTTATTAAAGTTAATTATCAGTGGCTGCTAAGAAGGTCAAAAGTAGGAAATATTCTTTCATTTACTGAGGGCCTTCTAGGAAATACAAAGATAATAATCTACAATCCCTGCACTCAAGGATCTCACTGTCCAACAGTGATGGAAGAAGTGGAAGTAAATAAATAACCACAGAAGTGATTATGATGGTGTTGCTGGAAGGGGACCTACTCTCCCACAGTAAACAACAATGCATTTGAGGAGCTGCTTTGAATAGTGAACACAGGCAACAGAAATAGTATCCTCGTGGGAAGGGAAACACATGAAGTGAACCTTACATCTGCCTAGCTTTCTATCTGGGGGAGCTTTCTGGATTGCGGTGCAAGAAGGTAGAGCCTTCTTGCTCTACCTTAAGGGCTTCTTGGTCCCTTGGTCTCACTGAGTTTAAGAGTGTAGATTAGACTTCCAGGCTAATCTTGTGGGGAAAGCTTTTAAAGAGGAAGGAGCTAAACAGAAAAGCCCCCCCCCCAGAAGTCTGTGTGGGTGTTCCCAGGTCTCTGGTACACTGGGAGACCCTCTGGGGGCCGGCAGGGAGTAGCTGAGAGCTCAGCAGGACACTGGTTCCTGCACATGGCTTGGAGGTGTTGGAGTTTTAGCCTAGGGAGTGTGGAGAGATCTCACTGGACAACTGGAGTACTTAGTTGATACAGGAAGTCCACCCCTTAGGAGTAAGGACCATTAAAAATTAAAATAAAAAAAAAAAACCCACATCTTCACACTAGACACACACACACACACACACACACACACAACCCCTTCAAACAAACAACAACAAAAACCATCTCTGAAAAAAGAATAAAATCACACTTGACTTGATCAAAATAATCTGTCAGTGATATAACTGCCGAATAGAACAAAATTCAAAACTCTTCAAGGGATGATAACATACTCATCCCGCTCAACAATGAAAACCCACAATCTGTTGTATATAATTTATTATTACTATACTTGTGAAGAAGTGTTTTACAGGCAGAAATGGAAGTTGGAGTGCATGGAAGTTATTAGCAAATACAAAACAAAGGATTGTCTCAGGCAAGGTTATCTTCTCTTAGGGGCCAAAAAGGCAGGGGTCTTACCTGGTTCTACTTAGAAGTATTGATTAGAAAATTCCAGACTGATACTGATTGGTTTTGAATTCCACTCCTGGAAGGGGCTGAAACTGCAGTTAGGTTAGGTATTGAGGCTTGGTGGGGCTTGGCCTAAGTGACCCCATTTGGAGCCTGTTTCTTTTTATGAAGGACTAGACGGGCACCAGGTGGGCAAGGTGGGCCAACTAAGTGAATGAATAAAACTCAAGATACGCCTGAGGACCTGGGTGAAACACTGTGTGGGTGTCTCCCAGGAGGCAGGATTAGGTCAGGACAAGGGCCGCAGGCTCCTGCCCTGAGCATACTATGGACTGGGGCGCAGACCCTTGAGAACGAGATGCCCAACCTGGGCTCCCCCGCGAGCGGGCGGATCATTCCCCCTCGGGCTGGGCAGGCAGCAGGCGGTCGCGGTTTCCCACCGCCCCTCTCCAGCGCGGGGTCGGGGAAGAGAGGAAGGGCGAGTCCGCGGCCCGCCCACTGCGTCCCACCCACCGCGCGCCTCCCCTCCGGCTGCGGGAAAAGCGGACTCGGGCCGCGCGCTGTGGGCCGGGCGGGCGCGGGCGGACGCGATGCGGGCGCGGCCTCTCTGGGCCGCGGCGCTGGTGCTGGGGGCGCTGGCGGGCGTCGGTGCCGGAGGTGAGTGAGGTCCCCGCGAGGCGGGCGCGCCGCTGTGGGGGGACCCGCGCCGCGCATCCTGCCGCGGCCAAGGCTGCAGACTTGGGGCGGGGAGACTCGGCGGGCGGGTCCTGCGCGGGGCGCTCGGGGCGCTCGGGGCGCTCGGGGCCAGGCTGGGACCGTCGGACCCCGGAGCTGGACTTTCCTGGCCCAGCGGAGCCGGAGCGAGGACCCTGCGGGCGGGTTCTCGGGGCTCCGCAGTCCCGAGCGGGGATGTTGCCTGCCGGGGCCGCTGGGGGTGCGCGGGGCGAGGCGGGCACCTCCGAGCGCAGGTGGTCCCGGGGCCGGCGGGGTGGCCGGGCGAGCTGAGCGCCCCGGGGCTGTCCCCGCGCCGTGGCCGAGGAGTTTGCAACTTCTTCGTGCGAGCGCGCGCGGATTTGCTGGTCCCCAGACGTTTCTTTCCCCCTTGTCTTACACTTTCCCCCAAGTTTTTGTTTTTGTTTAACTGGTTGACTCCCCGCGGGAGCGACTCGGAGCAGGACGCGGGCTTCTCCCCCCTCCCGGTGGCCGGGGTGGCCGCGGTGCCTCTGCTCCGGGACCCACCCGCATCCGAAAAATTTTAAGTCTGCGCGAGGAGCCGCGCCAAGGGTCCCTCGATCTGGCTCGCGTCCCCGGCTTTGTCTCTCGGCGCCAGCACACAGCCTCAGCGCCGCACCGGCCCGCCCGGCTCCCCTGGTCTGGGGAGAGGGCGGGGGCCGAGCAGAGCGCAGCCCGGGGCGCTGCCCCTGGTCCTCCCCGAGTCCTGGTGACCTTCCTGGGGAGGACTCTGCCTGCAGGTCCGCCGGGCGATCCTCTGCAGAGGATGCACAAGGGCGCAGAGATGCACTTTTAATAAAAGAGTGATAAGACAGTTTAGATCCTGCAAAAGTTATTATTTTTTTTTAAATTGAGAAGTTCATTTCAAAGCGTCAAAAATACATTGATGACAGCCGTGAAGACGTGTGGATGTCATGCATGCGCACAGGCAGGACACCAATATTTTAACAATTCTTTATTGATGGTAGCTGATTGACTGCAGAAAGCCATATTTATTTGATCACAGGTGTGAATGGGTGATCCCAGCAGTGGGGATGGTTGTGCTGAGCTGCCTCCCACCCCCACCCCGGGCTCCTTGCAGAAGAGGAGGAGGGTGGTGTTTAAGAGCAGGGGCGCCCTAGTGGGCCCTCCAGAGTAATAAGGCCCCGGGCACAAGCCCTCCCCCTTATATTTTAAGCTTCATCCTAGTGTTGGTGACTGGGGTGCAGGCATCCTCAGAACCCCAGGAAAGAGGTGCTTGGGTGAGAGTAGCAGAGTTGTATGAGGACGCACAAAGTGATTCATCACCGAAAGAACCAGGTGGGCGCCACAGAGAGGCTGGAATGGGAAGGAGAAAGGTTGTTTGAGTGTGGAATTGAGTTCTGCTTTTGCATACAAAGGTGGTATTTTTAGCTTCGCCCAAGAAGTGTTAGATTTTGTGACTTCTCCGTATATAGATCTTCATTTTTTCCCTTTGTTTTGACTTTATTTTAAAAATTAATTAATTTTCTTACATCACTGGTATTTTTGACCAGTAGTTGATTTCTCCCCTGAGGTGTAGTCCGCATAGTTCTCCCACCACCGTAACACCTGTGACCATCAGCACCGTGCTTTGTACCCTCCTGTTTTGATCCCTCTCCCCCACCAACCCCTGCTGTAAGCCTCATATATAGATTTTCATTTTACCTAAGACCTAAAGGAGAATACATTTTATTGGTGATCGCCACCTAAGATGATTGGTTTTGAGCTGGGGTGCTGGTTCCTCCTTCTGAGTTTATTTCCTGGCAACTACAGAAAGCTGTATTTATTTAATGTAGACAGTGTGATGAGTTGGGAGTTAAGTATACATCTGTGAAACCACCACCACAATCTATGAACAAAATAAGTTTAAACATTTTTTGCTGAGTAAGTTGGTTTACATCGTTGTTTATATTTTAGAGTGATAGAATCGCCCTTCAGGTAGCTTAGCACATGGACCACCAAAGTCCTGTCGTCCATGTGCTTCCTCTCCATTCTGTTCTGAACAATATCTGGATGAAGGAAGAGCTACAGATGAGGCATTAGAGGGCCATTTAAGTTACGGCTAAAGCATCTCGTGTGATAGAGGCTCAAGCAGGTCAACCAAAGCCTCACAGGAACCCAGAGGCCTGGAGAGACAGGAGACATGGGGTACGGCTCTAGGATGGGACAAGGGACAACTGTGGTTACAGCCAGTCAGAGGTGGGTTCAGTTTTTGACTTTGCCTCTTACTGCTTGTCTGGCCTTGGGTAAGACTTAATTTCTTGGGCTCTCAGTTTCTTTATCTGTGAAATGGGCAGAACAATACCTCGATGAAATAAAGGTGCAAAAGAGTGTTCCATAGTTACCAAGTACCATTCTCATTATCTTTCTATCCTTGGCATTTACCATGGGTTGGAGGTAAGAGCTGCTACTGCTTGGGCATCAGTGCTATTCAGAGTCCCAGGATGACACCCTTGGGTCCTTTTCTCCAGACCTATGTGACAGGAGACCCTTTCTCACTTCAGTTCACGCCTCACTGGTGGTGTGGCATCTCCCAGCTTCTCTGACCTATGGAGAAGAGAGGGTCACACTTCTGCTTTTTCCACGCAAAAACCCTAAGTCCCATCTCTAGAAAAAGAGGAAAGTTAAGATATATCCAAGTGTGCAGTATCATGAGAAGAAGCTAATGTCTATTTTATTCAATATGCTATGCCCGGTGACTGACACGCTTGTGGCAGCATAAATATCTCTGGAGTGCTCTGAAGAGGCATCTATCTAGAGGTGATAGGCCTCATTTTGAGAAACCTAGCATAGGAGTTCATTCCTAGAAGATCGCCAGGTGCTCCCCAACTGGGCATTCCACACAATATTAGAACATGCCAAGACCATGAGTTCTTTGCGCTTTCAACCTCTGCTCAATTGTACCACTTAGACCTTGGACTTGAGGGTGTTAGAAAGTTAGGGGACCCTCTGTGAGGTGTCTGCCTTTTCCTCCTTCTTGGATTGAAAGGCACAGGAGGGCAGCATTCTCCTTTACTGCCCTGGACGCTGCAAGAGTGAGGAGGCAGAGGCCTCCTGGGGATACATTAGGTGGGGCCAGGGGGCAGTAGTGAAGAGGGGGAGGGGAGTCTGGTTGTGACTCTGGAATTTCCTAATAGAAATTCCTCCTCCACAACTCCCCACCCTACTTGGGATCTCTGGTTATCATCCCCTGCAGCCCCAAGAATCCTTCTGTCCTGGTTGGCAGGAAAAACCAGGAAGCACGTCCACAGAAACCACAACTCATGAATCAGCAGACAGATAATTAATGGGGGGAGTGACTGAGCAGCTTCAGGGATAAACCACTGGCTTGATCAGCCCACTCGGCTGCCCACAGGGCTGGCTTGTGCTTTACCCCTCACCTCGTCTTCTTACTCTGGAACCCTGGCCCTTCCTGAGTGGGAAGCTCAAGTGCATGGTGGAGCACAGGTCACTTGTGAAAATGCAGATGGGAGCAGGGAAATGCCTGCCTGTTCTCTGGTGGAAACTGCTGGTGTTTACACAAATATGAAACTCTCCAGCAAAAATTAATGAAATCTGCCTTTTTTCGCCATGTATACCGCATCTCCAAGGACACTCTTTTTTAAAAGTTAGGTTTATTCATATACAATAAACATAGAATAAAATCTGTCTGTTTGATGCCTACAGGTCTATGAATGTTGTCAGATGCATACAGCCGGGTAACTGTCACCATAGTCAAGATACAGCATATTTCCATCTCTCCATGAGTTCCTGCTAGTTCTTCCATCATCAATTTCCTGTCCCCACCTTTCATTCTTCGAAGCCTCTGGTCTGTTTCCTGTCCCTGCAGTTGTACCTTTTGTAGCACGTCATATAAGTGAGTTTACACAGCATGGAGACTTGTAAGTGGGGCTACTTTCACTTTGGATGATACACCTGAGATTCATCCACATTGTCCTGAGCATCGGGATGCTCAGAGGTCATCTGAGGCGTCTCCATCTTCTGCTGTTGTTGAGGCAGTTACCCAGAGAGGCCAGATCTGTTAAACCTTAGGGGTGCCATTCAACTTTGAATTTGTGAGTCCTGTAATTGGATTGATGCATTTGGGCCACGTAGAAGCCATGAGATTTCCCAAGTGCCAAGCAGTAATATTGTTAGGTTATGGAAGAGGATTTTGTAGTAACCAGCACTTTTACTGTTCTTAGTCCTAAAAACAATGGTTATGTTGTGGCCAAATGTATAGTATGTCATAGTCCTTGGAACCAGAAGCTGCTAAGTCAACCTGGCGCTAATCAATCATTTAAAATTTTTGGTAGCCTCTCTGAGAAAAGCAACTCACCCTAAGTCTGCCTGTTTTTCTGTCATAGTCTGACAAAAAGACCACACCCTCCCCAGCATTTCTTAGTTAGTGAAGATGTTCAAAGATTCAGGGAGGAAAAAAGATATGGTGTATATACTCATTATAAGAAAATTGAATTGAAGAGCAAAATTATGACTTTCCCTCAGATTCAATTGCGTTATAATGTCCACTAGTAAACCTGTTTTCTCCTTGCTTATATAATGGCGTGTGTGTGTTATATAATGGCATGCTTGTGGTGTTTATTCTTACCTCCAAATCTGTGTTATATCTGTTAAACTTACGGAAGCCACTTCCTTTAGTATAGGAAAAGAACACAGTGTAAAAAGAAGTGAGGTTATGCAACTGAGAAACCGCTGTTTGGCTCTCGGCTCTGCGGGCGTTTTCATCAATTTTCTGGGTGATAATGAACCGGTCACCTCATCTCTGGACCTCAGGCTCTTGGTGTCCCAGAGGCTGCAAAGTGGGAGGAGCCCCTCCCACCTTTAACTGGACCACTTTCTCCTTTAACTGATTAGTAATTTGGAATTCCAAATTACTTTTTTTGGGGAGGGGTGTGGAGAGGGGAAGTGAGATTCTGATGTTTAAA